TGGTTCTTGGTTCTTGGTTCCGGGGGCCTGCCCGCATTTAACTTAAATTTTTAAATGCAGTTTAAATTCGCGGGGGCTCGCTCAAGCCAATGGCTTTGTGACTTCAAGTTGAAACGTTGAAACGTTGACCCTTATCCTAATATACCACATGGAAAAAAGGGCAAAATAGGTAGATCTTTGGGGGTGGGGGTACCATACTAATATATAATAATATATAACAATATATAATAATATATAATGATGATATAAAATAATATATAATAATATGTAATGATATATAATGATATATAAGAGACACTAAGCAGTGAGGGAGAAGCCTGAAGTCAGCACCATGAGCGCCGGTTGACAATGAAATACTACAAGTTACCCATATTATTCCTCAGGGTTCCTTTGTTTCTACCCCAAAACCCTAGTCTAGAGGCCCCCATGTTAATGCCTCCCGGCGTGAGATTATAAGATTCTGCAAGACAGCTCAAGATCATCTCCTAGAGCCGCAAACTGCGAAACAAGGCGGAAACCTCACAGATATGTTTTGCAGGATTTAGGGTTTAGGGCTTCAGGGTTTAGGGCTTAGGGTGTAGAGGGGCTTAAGGACTCAGAACCGTAATGAGCTTTTTGGCTTAGGGGTAGCCGTGGACTTTTCGCCCGACCTCTGCAAATTCAAGGCATGCGCTCCTCCCCTTGCTCGATGGAGTGCATCCCGGCCACAGGGGCTCTTCAAGTAAGTGACTCCAAGAGATCTTTAGTGGGAATGTTCATGGGGGAGCCTTGAGGACGGAATGTTGGAGTTAATGGGCTTGCAGCGACATGATGCTGATGGTTCAAGATGGAGGTTAAGGGTTTTCAGGTGTCAAGAAGATCTCGCGGTGCGGGCGAAGTGCGTAAATGCACAAGGGAGGATGAGGCCAATCAGCTGTCGGTTTGAAGCTTGTGTCTCGGCACCGCCTCGAAAGGCTTCTGTGCACAGTCAATGTGAATCTAGGCCTCGGTTCTGGCCCAGGGCCCTAAGCCCCTAAGCCTGCGGCGAAAAACCCTGAGAGTCGAGGTCGGAGCCACTGCGCATCAACCAGCGGTTGCACAAGATCGTTGTCGCCACGCAGCATGCTGTCAATATCCTGCTCAAAGACGATGAGAAGGCGCTATCTCAGCCTACGTATCTGTAAAGTCACGAATCACATGCACCGAAGCAAGCACCATAGTACGTGGAATTAACAACCGCCATGTTATGTGTCCTCATCATTCTATGTATATCGGTCTGGTTCTTTTTTGTGGCAAGACTAGTGAAGATATTCATGGTCATGGTGGCCATGGTAACGTAAGCTGCTGGCAACAACTACAACATTGCTGACCGTGTCACAGCGGGGAAACAGGTCCAACAATTGTGAAAATAATGCAGGTAGGATTAGCAAAGCTACTGGTAGTCTGACGCTGACTTTTCCGAAGTTAACAGCATGCATCGTTTCGCAGAAGAAGTGTCAAGATGGAGCGAAAAAAGTATGAAGAGGTGTTGCATGGCTTTAAGCTAACTCTTCGACCAAAGTATGAGATTGGTAAAACGATTCCAGATCTAGCACACATGCAGTAATGGATAGTGGCTTGCACACACGACCAGCAGTATAATCACAAACGTTGTTTAAGCACTATAGAGTGCTTGCAGTCATGAGCGGCAATAGCTGTAGCCGTTGCGTTCAAATCATCGATTACGGGAAAGGAGCATGATGCATTTTTGTGATCTGGTCGCCTCATGGTGCTTGAGAGGTCAGAGTGATTGCCACTGCCGCCACCGCTGTTGTCGTACATGCCACCGTCCAGAATCTCGATCACCTTTGTGTCATCATCGCATTCACCATCAACGTGTTTCCTCCGTTCCACCACTGCCAGAACTTGTCATGCTAGCCCACATAGTCACAGCCCCGATTGCCCACAGCGTTGGTGGCTTTGTTTGCACATCAACAGCAGTAGCAGCAAGACGAGCAATGACACCCTGCATGGCGTGTGGCTGTTGCATGTATGCTCCTCAAAGAGATGAAGTCTTGGAGTTTATATCTGGAGCTTAAGTTTTGGGCGGTAAGGCGCGAACACGACGGGATTTGCATTTTAAATGTCCTTTGCCAACACAAAAACGCCGAAGCCACTTCCGGCCCACATTCACCTCTTGAGGTTCTGCAATCATCAGCCTTGAGACGACTCCGATCTACATCGATGGCGCCGATAGCTATCCCCTACTTCAACATCTGACACCAAACGCCCACCAGACCAGATAGGACGTGCCGCGCCGTCGTTAATCATTTTCAGCATGCGAAGGCATGCTTTGGAGTGATGTACTAAACCCTAAACCCTTCCGTAGCCATTTTGGCTCAAGTCTGGTTGTGAGCTCTGGCCCCTTCATCTCGTCCTGTGAAAAACGCTGAAACCGCTAGTCCCCGATTTCCCCTCGGACGTCCTTGGTCTCGCGATGTCTGGTGCAGTGGATCGTGGTGGTGATGCGGTGATGGATGATGAGACTCAGCTTTTGGGTGATGAGGAAGATGGTGACGACGAGAGCCCCCTTGCTTCTGCAGGGCCTGCGCTTCATGTACCTAAGACTCCCTCTATCCTCGCCCGTAGTCCCCGCGGCCCCGAGGGGCTAGCAGGAAGACTCTTGAAGGATGATGAGACAGCCAGACGCGAGGCCCTCCAGGACGCTGCGAGTGCTGCCGAGGCATTGAAAGCTGCGAAGGGAGAGTTAGATGTGATTCCTCTGGAAGCCCCTAACCCCTATGCTGCTGCGGCCTCCCCGCCACCAAGTACTACTCCCCGGGATGAACTCACACTGCCTAAGCTGAAACCTAAAGCCTCTGAGAAGACTCATAGGTTTGAGAGCCCCGAGAAGAAACACAAAACCGACCCGAAGGCTGTTGTGCGGAAACCTGGGGAAGGGTTGGAAGCCCCACCTCTCTTCGGTGGAAAAGGCGGCAAGGCAGGACCCTCGAACCCCAAACCCCCTGAAGTTTTTCATCTGGATCCGGCGGTGCCTAGTTGGGTTTCTGAACTAAGGGACATGGTTACGGGAGGGCAGAGAGAGATCATGAGTGAACTCCATAATCACAAGACCCAGCTTACACAGGTTGGTCATCAGGTCCAACACTTGGACAGAAAGCAGGAGGACCTCTCCAAAGCACAGGCTGACATGTTTGAGCGCCTGAACAACATGGAGGCTGAGGTCAAAGAACTCCGATCTCGTTCCAGATCGGTCAGCCCTGCCCCCCCACACCTCCCCCATCCCGACCTGAGCCCCAGGTCCACCACGGCCAGCACCATTAACAAACAGGTTGTCGACGACTTTCAGGTTGTGATCGGAGGGTGGGAGGAAGCTAAAAGGGCCGAGGTTGAAAACGAGATTAGGCAACTCTTTGAAAAGATTAATGCTACCCCTCTTCTGCATAATATTCATGTGCCGTTTGTTAGGACCAAGTTTGCACGGGTGGAGTTGTTGTACACAGACCAAAATTTTGCTGAGAGACGTCGAGTTCAAAGCTTGGTCATCAACGCGCTCAAAACACTCTTCAACACCTACTATAGCTCCATTCCCGGGCAGCAAGCTCGGAAGCTCTGGATTACCAGAAACCGCAGCCGCGAAGAGCGTGAGAAAATCCGTGCCTTGGTCAGCATCAAGGAGTGGGCATTGAAACACACCTCAGAAATCTTTATTGATCTCGATTGGAGAGGACGACTTTGGATTCGGGGGGAACAAGTTCTGTTTTGGGTTCAAAACAAGAAACCATCCGATGGGGCTATGATGCTGACGAATGCTAATGGGGATGAAACAGGTTGGTGGGTGCATGCCCCGCAGCTTGGACGTCTTCTCTCTTTGGACCCTGAGCAGGTCAGGGAAGAACTCCTCAATTGACTAGCAAGCCCCAAAAAAGCAGCTACCCCATCAACAGGCAGCAAGCGAATTCATGAATTTGTGGCCAAACAGTGGAACTTGCATGGTAAACATCTGCAGGCACTTGCTAATTTGCTCGATAAGCTTGAGGATCCGGTTGACATTCTTTTCCTCCAAGAAGTTGGAGGGTTTTCCACGGTCCCTGAAGGGGAGTGGAAGACTGATAACCTGTGTTTTTGTGGAGAGACCTACAGAGCCTTTATTTTTCAGTCGCCTTTGGCACACCGCGCGACAGCAGTCTTGTTCCGTCAGAACATTGCGTTGGAGGTGGTGACACGCCATACTTTTGGTGTGGGCTTCCTCCTTCAGTGCAGGTTGGAAGCACGACACTATTGGTTAGGTACAGCGCATCTGCCCCATGAGAAGAGAGCTGACTCGGAGGATGTCTGGCTGAGCTGCCTCTCCCAGCTTGATGAAACTTTGGCGCTAGCCCGATACCATGACGTGATCCTTTTAGGTGTTGATGCTAATCAGAATTTGTTGCACGCGAACCCGAATTTCCCTGCCCTTGCGAGACTGCAATTCCTTGCCCAACACCGAGGACTGGAATTCAATGCATGTTGCGGTATTACGTGGGAAGCGAGGGGCGAGAGTAGCACTATCGATTGGCTGCTCTTCAGGTGGCCTATGTCAGAAGTTTCCTTTCACCTCCGTGAGGACCTTCGTAAAGCTTTGCCATCAGACCATGTACCACTTTTCGGCGTGTTCACCGGGAGACTTGGCCTCAAACTTAGGCCCCCCAGGCCTAAACACGGTTGTGGTAGATGGATCACTGACACAGCAACCCTCGAAGCTGCCGCCCTGGATCCTGCCTTTCAGTTTTCCCAAGAGTCCTTTGCGAATTTGTGTCGTAAGCATTCCCGGAGAGTTCCCTCCCTGCGTTATTCCGATCCTCCTCAGGTACAGGAGCTGATCCGACAAAGGAAAACCTGTAGTGATCCTGAGGAAAGAGCCCGCCTGTCCTCCGAAGTCACTCAAGCCCGTCACCTAGCTCAGAAACAGCATAAGCTGAAGTTGCTTGAAGATGCTCGCTTGGGAGACCGAGCGGCTATCGGACATTTACGCAGGAGTGCAATGCAAAGTTCTTCGGACGGGAGCTTCATTGAGAGACTTGGGGGTGAAGACGCCGCGTGCGAGTCGGTGCGCACTTTCTATGCTAAGAAATACACCCTCCCGCCCGGTATCCGAGGTCCAACAGGAAGCACTGCTACGCAAACATTCGCCCGCAGAAGCCAGTCCTATAACAGACGAGGAGATTGCGGCAGCTGTCGCCTGCACCAAAACCTCCACGTCTTCAGGTCTGGACTCGGTCTGCTATGCTGCAATTAGAACCTTCCACTCCAAGGACTCCCAGGGGAAGCTCAGGACCTTCTTCGACAAGATCTTGACAGGGTCCATTGACGTTCCGAGGGATTGGGTCACGGGGAAAATCTGCCTGATCCCCAAGGTCCCCCGGCCTACCAGAGTCCAGGACATGCGTCCCATTAGTCTAACGCCCTGCCTCGGGAAGATCTTCTGTAAAATTCTGATAAAACGACTTCGACCGCTGTTCCCTCCTTATCAGGCCGGACAACATGCGTGCCGCCCGGGCACACAGGCGATCGAAGCTGTGTCAGCAGCCCAAGCTACGCTTCGTATCTTCAAACAAGCAACCGGGAAACAATTGTTGGTGTGCAAGTTGGATATCAGCCAAGCCTTTGACACTCTTTCCCACCATGCGATTTGGAGGTATCTATCAGACACGGAGCCTTCACGTGAGGCGCTAGCAATTTGGTCGATGTGCCAGGAGACTAAAGTCTGTCTACAGCTGGGATCCAAGTCATGGGCTCAGCGGCTCGAGAGAGGAGTACTTCAGGGGACTGCATTCAGTGCAGACCTCTTTTCTAGGGTCCTTGATTACTTCGTTGCGGGCCTGATTCCCAGATGGGAAGATAGTCAGCACGCTGTCTTCCGTAAGCATGCGCTCCCCCATGCACTTCTGTTTGCAGATGACATCTTGTTGTTTGCTGCGACGAGCTCGGAATTGCAACATAAGCTTCAGACCCTCCAGCTTACACTTGAATCCATTGGCCTGAGGCTCAATCTCGACAAGTGTTCAGTGCTTGATCAGGAAGATGGGACGACTCCGGCAGTTTGGGGCAGGTCTGCAGCAAAACCCCTTACAGGAGTTGAGCATCTTGTCTACCTCGGAGTCCCCTTGACCTACAGGGTAAACCCCCTTGGACAGCTCGGAATCTCCTTGTCGAAGATGTCCTCGGCCTTTTTTGGTCTGCGTAGGTTGTTTGATCACCCTGATACACCAGTCAAGGAGAAGCTGCTGCTCTTCCAGTCATACATAACATCCAAGTGGACTTGGTGCTGCCCCACTGTGTATCCTACTGCGAGGGCACTTAAAAGTTTGGAATCGTTCAAACACACGTTGTTGCTGTCGCTACTTAAGCTCCAGACAGATCCCCTCCAGCCTTTCCTTGCCAATGTGGTGAGTAGGAGGAGGGCCGTCAAGGTCACTTGCGAGATCCACAAGTCAGCCAGATGGGGGGAACTATGGCTCACTAGGCTTTGGACCTTCTGGGGGCATGTTTTTCGCAGCAAAGCTGATCTGCCACTGCAACATCTTCTTGCCAAAGGGTCCTCTTGGAGGGTCATTTCGGGCAGATCTGCAGCCTCTGACTTGCTTTTCTTCATTCCTCGAAAGCTGCAACTTGTATGGAACCTTCTTAGAGAAGGCTCGCCATTCGCTAACATCGAAGGGCTGGCACAGGACAGAGATTGCTGGGCTGCTGCTTTACCTCGCTGGCTCAGGAAGTGGGGGTACGGCTCCTCAGAGATCGCCCGCCTTCCTGACAATTATCTGTACGATCGTCAACTTGTTCTTGTCGGTAAGTCCCTTGCTGTCCTTAGGCCCGCCCGTGTGTTTCCCGATGAACCCTACAGCCGAGAGGTCCAACACATAGTGCGCGGGGCTCCACGGCTTAAGCAATGGACTGTTTGGGCGCGTCTTCTTGACACGGGAGTTTGCCTGTCCATTATACCACCTAAGGAGCACCATGCCCAGGCGACCCACGTTCAGGTGCTGTGCGACTCAGGAGACCTCCTACAACGGAGACTTTGTCTATGGGAGTCTCTTCAGTCCCTCTGGAGATGGCTGCCTCATCTTCAAGACTCCAGAGCACCATGCTTCATTCCCCCCCAAGCCTTCGGGGCATATATCCTAAGCCACCAGGTACCCCTCGAGCTCCTTGCTCGAGTACATCGCTTGGACAACCTCGAGACCCAAATTGACTTCTTGTCATACTGTTACTTGTACCCCAAGCAAACACCACACTGGGTTGAAACAGTCATCCCCCAAACCTTTGGGCCCTTTCCGGGAAACTTCAAAGTGCTGTGCCGTAAGTCAGACTTCAGCCAAGCCAAATACTACAAGGACCTGTCTTTCTGACCGCCGGGCTCATGTGCAATTTCAGGAGTTTGGGGTCTCGGTTCTCATTTCTGTGAAGGTTCTTGAGTCTGGAGGGCTTTTTCAGGATCTTGAGGAGGTCTTTGAACGACAGCCCCTGCATTTGATGCCTCTCTTTTGTAGTTGCTTCTTGATTAGGGGCTGCTTTGAGGAAAGGGGGGGGCAGGGCGGACATTTTATTGCCCAGCGCTGATTGCCTCTCGAGTTCCAGTGATTGCTCCCCGTAGCTAGCCATGTCTGCGCCAGCTCCTTTTCCGGACCAGGTGCCACGTGCCAGGCCGCCCCCCCCGGCGCCTATGGCACCGGACTCAAGCATGGCTCAATCACCCTCCTTCGAGGGGCAGACACCGTGGTACATGAATGAGTGGGCCATGCAGATCATGACACAGCTGCTCACGATTGCACTGACTCTTCTTGTCATTGCAGTTGTTAGAGCTTGGAATAGGTGGACTCAGAAGCCTGTACCAGCACCGGTTTCAGAGCCCCCCGCGACGACATCAACTTCGACAGCTACGGCACCTCATGCTGGTGGAGCTGAACAAGGCTCTACTAAGGAGAAGCCCGACAAGAAGTCTATTGATCCTGCATCACCTGCAAAGAATAAGACTGTTGATGCAGCTCCCCCGCCAAAATCTGTGGATGCAAAGGATGGGCCTGCTGTGGATGCTTCCCAACAACCTGCGCAGGCGAGCACAGACGACTCTGGGGCCAAGAAGTCTCTAGGAACGGGAGAGACCATTCAGGTGACCCCCAAGGTCCTCCACTCGGAGATCAAGACAGTACGTGAGTGCCTACAGCAGTTTTCTGAGCGTGTCCTGAGCCTCCTCGATGGCGCAGAGGGTTTGGGCGGGAAGACAGATCAGACGATCAAAGAGTCTGAAAGCATTAAAAGGGAGATCCTGACTGTCTTGAAGTACCTCGCTGCAAGTGACAAGGACGTCAAGGATGTTAACACCCGCCTGACAGGCATCGAGGCGGTGCTGGGCCAGCTGAATGGTAGGGTGCAGACCATCGGCACGAACTTCGACAGCATGGCCAAGACGCAGGACTCCCTTTTGAAGGAGATACAGAAGCACTTGACTGCCATTGGTGGGGCGGCCAAGAGCTACAGCGCGGACACACAGCTGCTTATAGGAGTGAAACACGATAATTTGGAGCACGGAATCAAAGAGGTCCTGAAGCAGATGAAGAACACCGACTTCGAGAGCCACTCCTCGGTGACCCGCCAGCTCACCGAGTTGTCAAAACAAACAGAAGGCTTGGGACAAGAGCTTTTGGCAGCGCTTCACCTGGTCCAATCGGAGCAGGCCAGCCACAAGGACAACATCTGGCAAGTGGCCCAGGTGTTGGCCGACGCAGTAGACCAAGTCCGCACAATTAGGGACTACTGTGAACGCCCGCTTCCGGTGGCGATGCAAGGCGGAGGGGCTATGCCAGGATCCTCGGCTCCGCCTCCTCCTATGGCTCCCCCGAGTTACGAGCCGGCTATCCCGGGTGGACGCCAACACATCCACCTCCAAAGCGCACTGCCGATCTCTCGTGCACAGGGCTCATCGCCTCAGGTGACGGTGGACATGGGAGACGGAAGAAGCATCAACATCCCGGTCCACATGCAGCGCTGAGAGGGATGACCTATGTGGGATCGTCTATGGCGCCTGGAATGGCAGCTCAGCGAAGCGAGCGATGTTTGGGCTCTTTGCTTGCATGCCCGAATTTGCTCCCTGCTTCGCTGCATGCCTGAATTTACACCTTTCTTTGCATGATGCATGAGTACTGAGGCACTGCGAGCACCCTTGCTCTTGGCGTTGGTTTCTTTTAGTCGTATGTACGTCTTATGCCCTATGTTTCCCCCACTGCCAATGCCTTTGTGTTCGCGGGGCCTACCACAGCAGGCGTCTCATGAAGCGGATCTTTTGCTGTGCCGTTTTCCGCTGCCCTTGATGCCATACGTCCCTTTGCATGTCACTGCCTGCACTACCTGCTGCATGTGTAAAAAGAGGCTGGTGTCCGCATTGTGTGCAATAGCAACAGTTGATATGGAGGAAGCCCTAGCCACTGGTGTGCTCTTGGAAGCTATGACACGTGGATGGGAAGTCTTCGGCTCCAGCTTGGGATCATGTTTTGGGATTTGAAGCCCTCGCCCTCGGAGGTGATTGACCTGTCAGAGCTTGAGCCCACCCCCAAACTCAGTCTGCCCGAGTTTGAAGCCAAATGCAACACGTTGGCGACGACGGGGCTTGCCCCCACACATGCGGATGTGCTCGAACTCTGGGATGAGATGCCCCATTGTTTGCTCTCTGCAAACGCTGGGGAACGGTTCCTTTGTGCTGGTAGCAACCCTAGAAGCCCGGTGAGCCTCTCTGTATTGAACTACAAGGCCCCTTTTTTCGTTAAAGTTGTGAACCGCTTCCTTTTTGGTCTTGCGCCACACTTTAAGTACACATCCTTTGTTGTTAGGGATAGGTGTATGTCCAGGCCTCACCGTGACTGTAGGAATGGCCCGCAGCCCTCTCTGCTAGTATCCCTGACACCCACCAGGACCCAGGAAGGCCTTTGGATACAAGACCCAGTGGGGACACACTGCAGAGAACACCTGGGGTTTGTGATCATGGGAAGCACCCTGCCCATCTACCCTAGGCCGCTCGTTTTCGATGCTCGTAGGAGGCTTCATGCAGGGTGCCCTAGTGTCCGTCGTAGAATTGTACTTGCAGCCTTCACGACCATGCACGTGAGCACTCTTAAGCCGGTTGATCGTTGGTTGCTTGGTGAGCAGGGTTTTCAGGTCCCAGATTCCCACGACATTAGCCGATATCTTTTTGAGTCCCTCCATGAGCCTCGCATGCGACAAAGGACCCTCCAGGAATGCCTCAGGTTGCCGGTTGCCGAGAGGGACTCTTGCGAGGTTATTGAGATTTGCTCCGACTCTGATGCGAGCGACTCCCCCCACGCTTTGGAACTTTCCTCCTGAATTTACTTGTACTGCTGACCTTGCATGCCTGTGCTGCCTTTGCTGGACTGTTGAATTTGATGCATGTGCATGATGACACCGATGTCAGGACCCGTCGACGTAAGAGCTCAGCCCAGATGCGTGATGCCTGTCCTTCTGTCGGTGGTGACATGGGTTTTGAGATGACGATTGTCTTGAGGACTCCGAGGGCTAGGGGACTTGAGGTTTGTTTATTAGGCTCACTTGTGGTCTATCCTGTGATTTCCGCCCCCCTAATGAAACCACTAACCCGCGCCTCTGTCCCACTGCCATGGACTGAAAGTCTGCGCCCATTCGGGTCCTCGATGTCTCGCATGTGGCCACTGCTATTGTCCGCTGGTGAGTGACTGAAGCTGGAAGCTTGGCCACTCCTCTGGTGCAGGAGCTCAAGGTATGTGCTCCACTGCCGTGAGTTACAGCAAACACGGGACCTTCGGTCACGCTCGAAACCTGGATGGTGTGCTGCTCTGGTCATGGCTGATAGAGGAGGCCACTGTGGGTCTGGGCCTCTGGAAAAAGAAGAAGAAGGCAAAACCAGATGGACGACCTGGCAGGCTTCGGAGGTTTTCTGAGGCCCGCCAAATTTGAGACCTGAACAGAGCACGTTGCCATTGAGGGCTCACTCCCCCGAAGAAGGGCGCGCGCCGACGGCTGAGTCAGAGAGACGGATAGACTGCAGGGTGCATGACACCCCGTGGTGGATGCCCCTGTTGGCGCCTTCTTGTGGGCAAGCCATGAGTGGGGGCGACTTTGGTGACCATGGAGCTTGCTGTTGAAAACAGAATTGCAGGGTGTTGGACACCTTGCGAGCGCGACTGTGCCAGAATGCCCCCGCATGTGGGTAAGCCATGTGCTGAAGGGTGCTTGACGACTCGGAGCAATACTGAGTGTGGGTGTATTTGAACTGTAGGTCTTGGCAGTGCCAACGTGCGCTGTTGTGTCGAGTTCACTGAAGCTTCTACCGCCTAGTGTCAGAGACCGCTGCATGCGTGGTTGGTATTCTTGGCCTGTTGTACTTTCTTTGTTGTTTCCGTTGCCATAGTCGAGAGCATGAGCGGCTTGCTTGTTTCACGCCGACTGGTACCCACGAACCTCGCCTGGCATGTCCGAGTTGTGAGAGCCTAAACCCTGAGGGAAAGAAACCCTAAACCCAAAAAAAAACCATAAACCCTGCACCCTACCCTTCCAGGCCACAGTTTTCCGCCAGAGCGGCGAGGAGCTCCTGGCTGCACGGGACCGGGTCGTGGCCAGCTTCCGAGAAAGGTTGGAGGGAATCTCGGCTCGTTTGGCTTGCGGCTTGCTCTAGGTAGAGCTTCAGTCGTAAGATATACTTGCGGCAATTAGCTAGCTTGGTTCAGGGTAGTTATTAGTTTCTATTCCTGTTCTGTGTTATTTCTGCTGTTGTTCTTCTTGTTACACCGACTTGGAGCAGCCCTTTTTTCGTTGTTCAACATCCATTTGAACTTTGGTATTGGTCTGTCAACCAGACACTCTGTCTAGCGAGGCTCCTATTCCTGAAGACTTCCTGGATTTCTCCAAACCTCATCGCCCTGGCTCGTATTGAACACTCAACACCGAAGCCTCGCACTTCTGGTTGCTTCCTGCACCGTACCGGAGGGGCAGTTGTTTCTTCGCTTGGTAATGTGACGGGATGTTTAGGAGTTGTCGAACTCTTGATAGATCGGGGCTTTGACCTTTTACAGGTGCAAGCTCGGTAGCCGAAGTCCACAGAGGTTGCAGTCGAGGAGCGGGAATTTCGCAGAATTAGGAAACCAGTTCTGAAAGAGGAGAGAATTCACCCAATGGGGGAGACAGCGATGCACATGTGACGCCATCAAGAGCAGCACCACCTTTACTGCCATGTGCGAACGTAACAAACAGGCTGCCACGCAGGCAGACGGAGACTCGACAGACGGTGTGGCATGCGGCATTGAAATCTCAACACAGAAATGGCCCCTCAGACTGTCGAACGCCATGCCTGCTTCGTGCGAGTGTGTGAGTCGAAACCGCTAAACTCTAAGCTAGAATAGAAGAGCCGAGCGGCAGACTGAGACTTTACTTGTTCACTTTACTTGTTCTGCTTGAGTTCGTGAAAGAGACCACCCCCTACTCTGATTTGCAAGCTGCTTGTGATTCTCACTTTCTCAGGGTCCTCTACCGCAAATTGGCTCATCCCAACATGCTTCAGCTTCCAAGTTCGACGAAAATCCTATGCCCCGATCCCTATCACCATCGCCATCATCAGCATCAGCAGCAGCCCTCTCGCAAGTCAAGAACAACCGGCGCTCTTCGTGGAGTTGCTGTCGTTGCTGCCGCAGTCGCTACCTTTCTCTAAGATGATCCGTCGCAGCTGTGTACCACTGGCCCAGGATACTTCAGAGGCCTTCCGGCTGGCCCGCAGGACTTGGAGCTTTACGTTCCGCCTGAAGGCTCCGTGGGCACAACAGCCCTGGCCGAAGCAAACAACCACGAGCCACGATTTCTTGATATCGCAGAAGAAGATGATGTATTGTCACTGTTTGACAAGACTTCCCCCAAGAAAGAACCCTCATCCACAAGTCTTGAGGGTTTATAGGATGTTTGAGGTATAGGGTTTAAACAACCCACGCAGACGCGTGCAACCCAGAATAATGTTGCCTCCTGCCGCAACGTCGTGAACTTCTAGAATGAAATTCAGATCCTTCAGGGTGGACGGAGCTTCAGCATAGCATTATGTCTTCACAATTCCTATAGACCAGTGCTGATTTTCGCACAACACACCCCAAACCCTCCTTTTTTCCCGAAAAGGCCCCATGAGGCCGCCAAACTGCCAAGCTTCAGCATCTATTTTCAGGCCGAGGCACTCTCGCTCTTGCTGCAAACAGTAAGAGACCGCATGGGTCTTGGCACTATTAAACCATTCCTGCCCGCGTCTCAACCTCATATACGGAAGGAAGCCCATCGAGACAAGGAAGTCTTTTTCACTTTCACCGAGATAGAATTGTATGTTCGTGTTTATGCTTTCTGAGCTGTCTAAGCCCGGCAGCTATGGTGTCAGCGCCGAGCTTGCTTAGAATCGTCGGGCGTAGAAAATCCCAGCCGGCCGCGAATCCCCTCAGACCTATCAACTGCAAGCCCAAACCTAAACCCTAACCGATTCATTGGGGTCTAATTGGTCAAGGCTTGCCTCGCGAGGAATGCGCCACTTGCTCTTCGGCTGCATGCTGGGCCCCGGTTTGGAGCCGTCCAAGAGCTCCAAGTATACAAAAAGTACCTATTTTGGGCCATTTGAAGCCTCAGGGTGAGTGCTGGTTTGGTTTTAAAGGCTCTCTTCTCGGTGAGGCTTGTTTCCCCTCTGAAATTTGGGCTGTGGTTGGGCTTGATCGGCTTTTCCGAGGCTCTCGTAGTTTCAAGCAAGGGAATCCGATGGTCCAATGGATCAGCGCTGAACTCTACATGCCTCCTATAGCGCACCATTCATACTACAGCATCTTGGCAGCTTGCTCTGTTTGGTTGGCTCCCGCTGGCAAGGTTTGATCCAGGACTTTGTCGCGGAGGCACACGAGATGGCCAAGCTGGTGCTGAAGCTGCACATACTGACAGCCAGGTGCTGTATAGGTGATACAGCAAGTAGGGTTTACTCTTGGTAGAGCGCAC